CCTTCCATCCTCGTCATACGCATTGCGGCGCGACCAAGGCGTCAGAGTCAGGAAGGTCATTCCCTTTTGGAGCTGGAAGGTGATCTCCGCCACACCTTTTTGCTGGGAGACGTCGGCCCTCCAGGACGATAGCCGGTTGGTTGACAGAGGAAGGAGTGGGGCCGTTTGGATTAGGCCAAACTGCCGTGCCACGAGGTTTGGCAGATACACCTCGGCCCCGGCTTTGGACAGACCGCAATGGAGGTCGCGCGAAACCAGGAAGGAGCCCTAGATCTCCTTCAGATCGTTCTCCGTCTCAACATTAGGAAAGACCGAGAGGTCGTGGGTCAGGAACAGAGGGAACGGCCGAGCAAGGCAGACTCGGAACTGTGTACCAGTTCTCTCGGCCAAGCCGTAGAAGAATTTGTAGCAAAACGCCGTTGGCCAGCGGCTCGTTGTCTTGGGGGGCGGCCACCCCCCTCAGCTCTGGGAAGTAGGCCTGTAGCCAGAACTGGAAGGCCCACAGTGGACCACCGTGCTTCGGCTTCATCCCATCAGTAACGATGTCATGAAGCGTGCGGTAGATGTGGCCAAGTAGGAACGGGCCGAGCGCTAACCTACCGCCCTGCGCTAGGTAATCGGCCAGGTGGACGAACCTTGTTCGCATGGGTGCAAAATACGAACTTGCACAACCAGTACAGCAAGAACGCGGTGTGTTCAAACTCGCCGAGAGGGGCAATGGCGTCGTCTTCATCACTGTCTTCTACGCCGAAGTTGCTGTAGAAACTGGAGTAGTTGAGCATGTTCTTCGCCTTGCTCCCAGCAACTCTCGCAAGAGTAGGCCAAAGCTCTCTTCCACCTCAGGAGCAACGAGTGCGGCGTTCACTTCCACACCGAGAGGAGAGAGGCCAAACAGGGCGGCCATGTCCAGCGCGGTCGGCGTCATCATGCCGAACCGAAAGTTCATGGTATTGGTGGCCGACGACCAGAAGCACAGGGCTGCGGCCAAGAGCGATCGGTCCATGACGAGCGGCCGATCGAATAGCTTGATCAAGTGGTAGATGCCTTGATCTTTCCATTGCTGACCAAAGAAATGCTCCATCCTCGGCAGCCATTTTTCCCAGTCTGGGGTCACGGTTGGCCACTGTTGCTGCGGCCTGACGACATTCCAGTCCTGGAAGTCTCCCCCGTCAAAGGCCGAATGATCCACCAGATTGTTCTTCAGATGGGCCACAAGCCTCTCTGGCATTCCGCCATTAATGGAGGGGCCGAGAACGCAGGAATCAGTGGGGGCACC